GAGGCTTTATGGTATTTTTACCGTGTAACAGTAATTTAATATACATGATGTGCTAGAGGGCGTCATGGTTTGTATCAGAGTGAGGCTTTATGGTATTGTTACGAAATGATACAAACTTAATATATAGATATATACACATTAACTCAGTAGAGGGCGCCCTATCTTGTTTTAATAAGAGGCTTTATGGTATTGTTACGAAATGATACAAACTTAAAAAATATATATATATATATATACACATTAACCCAGTAGAGGGCGCCCTATCTTGTATCAGAGTGAGGCTTTATGGTATTTTTACCGTGTAACAGTAATTTAATATACATGACATGCTAGAGGGCGTCATGGTTTGTATCAGAGTGAGGCTTTATGGTATTGTTACGAAGTGTAACAAACTTAATATATAGATACATTAACTCAGTAGAGAGCGCTCTTTCCTGTATCGAAGAGAGGCTTAATGTTATTTTTTTATATTTTATATAGAACTGGATTTAAACTTAAAACATGGTCACAAGCTAATATTTGTATATATTGGTAACATATATACGTATTGTTTATGGTTTTATCATATTTCTTGTATCGTACTTATCGACACAGCAAATCCATTAATTTATTTGTATAAATGTAATCCAACCAGCCAATCAGTGAGCACATCACAAAATGGCATAATTTGAATGTTATTCCATCTGCCAATAGAAACGTCTCGTTTGTTTGAATTGTGAAAATTATAAAAAATAAAGGAAATGGATTTGTTACGCTAGGAGTAAAAGACAATTTGTGATAGCGAGTTTCAATGCGTCCTCGTGGTGCTTTGCTCAAAGTTCACCTTTTCACCACCAAAATTTCTAGCCAATATTTTCTTATATTTCTTGAAATGAACCATAATTTTGAGTAATTTTCAGTTTTCACTCACAAAATTTGGCTATTTGTGTCCCAATCTTCTGAAAGAAAATGTAGAAACTATATATACAGGACTTTTTTGGGGAACTGGTGATGACAAGGTTAAAGCTGTGTCGTGTATTTTATTTCTAAGTAGTGGATTTTTTTTTATGTTGCTTGGTTTTATCAATAAAAAGACTAATTCTATGTCTTTATTGTAAAATTCTTTATAGATGGTAGTCATAAAACCTATAGTGATGTATACCATGTATATTGTTTTTGACGGTCGCCATGCGATG